CGTAGAAGTCATCGTTTTTGTGGGAAAACTGGTCACAATGAGGTTTTACACCAGCACCTTCAGCCGCTATTCGCTCGACGACTTGTGTTGAGTCTGAATGTAGTTGTGTGAGACGCAGAATTTCGAGCTCTATCCAATGATGCCAATATCAAGTGTTCTAGTTGCGTAGAACTCATGGTTTTTGAGGTAAAACTGGGCCTAATGAGGTTTTACGCCACTAATTTCAGCCGCGATTCGCTCGACGACTTGTGTTGAGTCTGAGTGTGGTTGTGTGAGACGCAGAATTTCGAGCTCTATCCAATGATGGACATATCAAGTGTTTTACGCCCGTAGAACTCACGGTTTTTCAGGGAAAACTGGTCCCAATGAGGTTTTACACCACTAATTTCAGCCTCGATTCGCTGAACGACTTGTGTTGAGTTTGAATGTGGTTGTGTTGGACGCAGAATTTCGAGCTCTATCGAATGATACCACTCTGAAGTGTTTTGTTCCCGTAGAACTCATGGTTTCTGAGGGAAGACTGGTTCAAACGAGCTTTCCTAGGAGTAACTTCAGCCGCGATTCGCTCGACGACTTGTGTTGACTCTGAATGAAGTTGTGTTAGACGCAAAATTTCGAGCTCTATCCAATGATGCGATGTGAAGCGTGTTTGAGGATAAATGTGAGGGGTTATGACTCGAATACTGATCCGGTTTATGACATCCAGCAGTAGCTCCATCCTGATTGCGCTCAACGAGTTATGTTGAGTGTAGTTGAGATTGCGATGGAGGCAGGGTTTCGAGCTGTAAGGAATCATGCCAGTGTGAAGTGTCGTCATTTCATTAATGGGGGAAGGAGTTATAAGGCCAATACTGGTCCGGTTATGGCTTTCCAGCGGTAAGTCCAACCCGGAGACGCGTAACCTTCTTTGTTGAATATGGTATAGTTTGTGTTCGATGTAGAAGTTCGAGTTGTATGGAACATCAGCAGTCAGAAGGATTTTGATCACGGTAGGAATCATGGTTATTTGCTAAGACGGCTCATTGTTCAGGGTTTTGGGATGTAATTATCGTCTGGATGACTGGGATGAAGTATGGCTTGTGGTTTTATAGGATAGATAGAAGAAAAGCGAGCGTTGCGTTGAGGAAAATTTTTGACTTTGTGGATGGGTGATTTGCGCGTTTGGAAGGATGATTTTTGAAGTTTGTGGCAGGGTATTATAGTTTGATGCCATATTTTGTTGACTTTTTAAGAATGCATCGAAGAAGAATATTACATTGATAATACATTGAATTGAAGAAAGTTTGATTTCACAATAATTGATGAAAGCATAATGCTTCGGATATGGACTCGTTATGTATTGGTGTAAAAGCTCTTCGGAGTTGATTGTGCACAATGAGATGATAGAATCTTATTACAGAAAATGCACGAATCTTGATGGCTGGACGGATAGAAAGCTCTTTCACTGATATTACTTTGTTGATTTTAAGTTATAAGTCTCGGGTAAGTCTACTTTTCGTTGATTTTGAACATGGCTTGATGGATATATTGCAGAAGGCTCTAGGGCAAGGATGATTACACCGGTATCGGATTAGTCAATGTTCGCGATTTCAGCTGCTCTTCATTAGTGCGTTTAAAAGTTTCTCGAATCCTTTGTTTCCTTTATCAGAAACGATTCCTATCACGATGATGCTTAATGTTGTTCATGTCTAAATTTGAAATTCATAATTTGATTTTCGCTGAATCTGATCTTAGAGAAAACCAGATCAAACTTGTGGCCCGTCATGTCTGTGAACTCCACTATTGATGTTTAAATTTCGTTTCATAATTGTAAATTTATATAATATTAATAAGTTCATGTTTTTTGAGGTGTTTGATTTTTGGTCCAATCTTTAATTTAGGATATATTTTTATCTGTATAGCGGGGCTGGCTCTGCTTAACGAAATGAAGTTATTACTTGTACTGTCGCGAAAGCATTGGAACAAAAGAACTAAGTTAAATCGGTGATAGAACAAGCTCTTATAGAATACCTGGTCGTTCGTAAACAAAATTTCCTGCAGCACCATCGGCAACTCTTTCATCAACTGGTTTACTTGATGAACGTCGGCGTTCACAATTGAATTATCTTCGTCCAGAATTACAAATAATTTTGCATAATTATATTGAATCTTCGACACCAAAATACGAACTATTTCGGAACATTCAAAAGAAACCGAAAAAGTTACTCATAAAACTTTAGTGCCATATAGGCCCCACAAACCGTTTTTATATCAGTAAATTCGTAATCACTTAAAAATTGAATGTGAGCAAGCATTTTATCTTATTGATCCGATGATTGATGTAACAAAAGATATATTCGATCATTCTGATGTAGGAAAGATAAATGAAAAAACTTAATCTTTATATATTTAATTCAAATATATCAGAAACAGAAAATTTTTATAACAATCAAACAGGTGTATAAATAATGGAAGAATATAATGCACTAAGATTAAATCAACTATCGTGGTTACAACAATATTTAATTAGTAATTAAACGAAAGAAAAAATATTAGTATGAAAACAAAAAGAATGAATAAAATAGAATTTACGTCGTAGATTACACAAACTTTCAACAAATGCTAGATACCAACATGAAATGAATTAATGTTACAATTACACCGAGAATATTTTAAAGCACATGATTCATGTCAAGATTCAGTTGAATTAATGAGACAAACACAAAAGCAAAGTCCATTTCAATTACAAGCAGCACCTGATGATGATAAACGACGTTTATCATTTTTAATAACTTATCATGCGAAAAAAGTTTAAAAACTAATCGAACAAAAGTCTTAATTAATCATAATAAATAATCGAATAATAATAATCATTTAGATTGCTTATGTGATTAAAACATTCACACATTCAGAAGAACAAAAATAAAGTCAATTTAAACCATATAATGATTTAAAACAACAATTAAAACGAGATTTTAAAAAGAATAAACAAAATAATATAATTGAGCAAATGGTCAATATTATCGAAGAAGCATATGCTGCAACCCAATTTGATGATATTGATAAAGTAGAAGTACCAGCATTAATGAAAGGACGTTTATATGGAAAGCGTATTTCCTAGTTTTTTTTTCTTAACATTGTTATATCTTTTCTTTTATATTCTTTTCGCGTTAGTTCTTAAAGCAATGTGTATTTCATTACCATCGAGTTTTACTTGTGAAGATCCAGTTCACCTAACAGGTATTAATGATGATCAAGCATTAAATAATGCAACATCATCACATTCAATCGCACGAGGTTTTAGTTGGAGAGAAGCCACTGAATGAGCAAGAATTTTAGCCTATCGAAGAAAACATCCAGCTATACATTATCATGAAAAACCAGCTGCATTTGATGTGCGAATGTTACTTGAAACAGTATTAGACACAACATAAGAAATACCAGTTACATATACTGATGTAGTAAAGAAAATGGTGAAGAACTATTCATATTGTTTGTAGTATACTTTTTCGACAAAAAGATCTTGTGTATAATTATTATTTCGGCTTACTTTTTAATGTTCATGAATTATATAATTCGTGCGGTGTTCAATTTGATGGTGTAAATATTATATCATTAGTTGATCATAGTGAACATGTTGAACGTGCTGTTGAGTAAGCTGCATTCAAAATTATTCGAGAAGAAGGTATTATTGATATACGAGCATCACCATCACCACCACCACCATTATCATTATCAATAAGAATAAATAATGTTGATGTTCATGATGTTGTTTCTAAAGAATTAATTGCTTCGCCTGATGATATATCTAATATGCATGTAGTCATTTACGCGAGTGTGCGTTGTTCAGAAAATTTTTTTGTCATTGTCATTATTTGTTTCATCTATGATATAAGAACCTCGTCTGTTTTCGAGAATAATGCATATTAAAAATTTTCATCATTCTATTGTACATTAAAGTGCAAAAAAAAGGAAATAAAGAAAGAGAAAAAAGTAAGCATGAAAATAAAACACAAATCATCGATGGATGGCATCAAAAAGATACAAGAAAACAAAGCAAAGCGTTTTTGTAGAGAAAAATAGAACGGGAGAAACAAAGGCATACGCCTATCACGTCGGTGCTAACTACTGAACATCCGTTACACCGGCAGTTATTTTTTTCGATGTACTTGTTGAAGGCGTTGATTTTTTAGATGATTTTTGTTCGTCAGGTAACTCTTACGGTTGTTGAAAATTTATTGTGAAAAATAAGAGTGCTTTTGTTAAATAGAAAATTATGCTTGATTATTTTTGTTTTGTTTATTCACCTGGTACCATTAAGAATAGGTATTGTTTCAGAAAGAACAGGTACAATTAATGAATAGCATAAAAGACAAATGTTACTTATAAAATTCACCTAAAAAATAATTAAAATAAGACATTTTTTACAATTCATTCAATGTTGTTTGTTTTTGTGTTCGTAAATTTTTATCGGTAAGAAGCGAAGAATCAAGTGCATCATTTTCTTCATGTCCGATATCAAATATTCGTGCGTCAAGTTGTTTTTGTACGAGAATCAATCATAAATAAAGAAACATAATTGGCATTAATCAATTCTTTTACATATCTCATTGTTTTAAGCATAAAAACCCTCATACTAACAAGATCAAGAAAAAACTGATCTAATCACGACCAACAGGAGACGATTAAAGTGTCATTCACGTGTCATTGAATAATAAAACTAGAAGTTAATGAAAAAGAGATAGAACCATAAATTCATAATTATCTTTATTATGTTGTTTTTCTTTTTTATTATAAAACTCAATGAATTTCCAAAGCGTAAAGGTTGAACAGAGAAAAACAACAAGGATAAATAATCAAGCAGCGTATCTATTTAACATGTAACAATTCATTAATTTGAAATACAATCACAGCAAACCAACATCAGCGCTACGAAAAATGCCATAAAAAATGTTTGTTCATTCATCGTGTTGAAAATATCTTATTTTCTTCTTATTTTCTTCGATGAGTGAACTGAATCCTTGTCCTATATATTTAATGTTCGATAGATAAAATATCCACAAAAAAATGCATCAGAAATCTAGCAAATTACCCGATGGCGGATTTAGGAGGAGGGCGCTTAGGGCGATCGCCTCAAGTAGACTACAAAAGAAATCGTCTTTTTCTAGTGGAAACGTTTTTAAAATTGGCTTATACTACTTCTAAGGAGCTATAAAACACGTCTTATGATCAGAATCACCTCGTTTGCACTAAATCGCCCCACATAGAAAAAATTCTAGATCCGCCGCTGAAATTATCTGTGCTTTTGAATTTACAGACTTATCATAGATATTGTTCAAATTTGTCTAACCACTAATGCGTGTCAATCCCTTGGACAACGTGCTATTTCACAAATACAAATAACCTGTAAGATAACACTCGTTACTTACTCATTTAGAAACTTTAGTTACGACAATGACAAGTGATCAGTATAATATAAAAAAGTAAATATTAAATAACATGATAATCGGTTTACTATTAAAGGTAGACAGAATATAAATAATAATTATTCATTTTTTTCTCCACGATAAACAAAATACAAAATTAAAGTTAACTATGCATAGAAAAAAAAATTCACACATTTCAACATCATTTTGTGAATTGATTTGACTTTCAAAGATATTACTGTTTTGAAAAATGTCCATTTCGTTTATACAAGAGGCGATTTGTTCACTTGCATAATATATTCTAAAGCATTTTAATGGTTTTTTTCTTCTTGTTTGAACTATCTATGAAGCTTTTCTTTTACTCATTTGTGCATATACTCTCTTATTTAATTATATGTAGACGTGAACAAAAAGATGTTGACTCATTTATTAATTGATTATATTATTAATTTATTGAATTATTGACATTATTATTACAAATCTTATGTACAAAGATATAATATTAGGAGAAGAGAGAAAATAAATAAATAGAATAAAGGAAAGCACAAGAAGAAAATATATCAAAGAGACACGTACAAAAAAAGCCAAAATGAAATATAGAGAAGAAATATGTTAAAAAGTTCATACTAGTTCATTATTGGACGATGAAGGGCCCATGGCAATTAGTTCCACTATCGTTTCGGCACCTATTGAAGAAACGTAGTGTGAGTACTATGCATAAAATGAAAACTCACATTGTACATGTTCTTGCTGGTGGCGTTGGTGGTATTGATGGATTTTTGGTATAAACCAGTTTTTCTAAAAACATATATGTAGAACATGAGTTTACAGTGTAACTATTATTGAAATTACATACTTTAAAATGTCTCTCATTTCGAAGAAACTTGTATAAACAAACGAATATGTAACTAGTGGCCGCAGTAACAAATGAACCAATACCAGCTAAAATTGTTTTCACGCCTAGAGTATCACTAAAAGTATCGTCGACTATATGAGATGTTGATGTTGTTGTTGATATTGTTTTGGATTTTATTTTTGCAAATAATATTTTTCCTTTAAGATAATCAGATAATGGGTCGAGTTCATCGGCCTATATGTGCAATTAAATGAATTATGATCAAATTATATTAAAACTCACCTACCTGAATGAATTCCGGAATCGCAGGAATCAATTCCTACCAATAACCACCAATTCCCGGAATTCTGTGCAATTCATGAATTGAATGATGATCGTCTAACTATCAAACATTTGAGCTAAGCAGCACGAGGAATTTCCAAACGAAACTCCGAGAATTGGATCCAACCGGAATCGCTCGGAATCGGAGGGAATTCCTAGCAATGCCCTTCGATTCGGATTCCGCGCAATTCAGGAATTCCTGACTGGAACCGGATGATCATTCGATGATGCACGCATTATAGAATAGTAGCAGTCACTGCGATTCCGAAATTGCGCGGAATCCCAGGAACTGGTGGTTATTGGTTGGAATTGATTTCTGCGATTCCGGAATTATGTTCGTGGTGTAAAAGGAACTCCCGGAATCGATTGGAATTGATTCCGTGTGCGGAACTAGTTCCGCAAGGTTCAACATCGCGGAATAGGATGTATTCTCAATTTTCTATATATACAACTACGAGAGAAAGTGTGAATCGCGATTGTTTTGGATCCATGGTGTCGGTGAGATTGAGTATGGCTGGGACTATCTTCATCTCTCAGCTCAAAGAAATGTGCTTGCCTATTTTTTGTAACCGGTAGAGTCTACAACAATTTGAACGATAGAATTATGAATATGTAAGAAAAGAATACTTTTGAACGTCTTATTTATTATATTACAATCATCACGTTTTTTTTTGTGTTTGAGAAACATCTTAATATTATATGCAACATTTAGGGATACAAGTTCAAGCAGCTCGTCAGTCCATTCGGATGCAGAAGAGTCACCTGAGCGTACGTTGAATTCATCAAATCTAATATAACAAAATGCTTGTAATGGTTTGAATCCTGAATGCAAATCTTCATCGTCGTCGTGTAATAATGTTGATGGTCCAGTGAATTGTCCGCTCACAGATCAGAATGTCTTACAGACTTTGATACCTCATGTTGAATCTATAGTGAAATAGAAACAACTGACACAGATCAAAGTACAAGAAGAAGTTCTCGCCGTCGCATTCCAAATCGAAAATATGATAATGATTATATTTCTCCGATTATTAATCGAAGAGGGTTGTCAAATGCATTATCACTGAAAAGATGCCTCTCTTCATCCAGCGATTCCATTTCTGTCAGTTTGAAACAAAATCCAATTCGTGATCAACACAAGAAAGTGAAGCAATTGGCACCGAGTACGTCGGACAAAGAGCAAAATGTATTTAACAAACCACCGAGAGTACCAAAACCACAGTGCATTGCAGAACTTGGTACTCTCACTCTCAAGTGGCCTAAATACGGAATTAATAATGGCATTTATGACGGTCAATCATTTTCTGTCACAAGAATATGTCCTATAGACACTGGTTTGTTTGCTTTGTACCATGCCTATAAGGCTGGCAGTGATAAATTTCAAAACCTTTTTGAAAATGATAATCTTGATGCTCTTGTGGTTCTTCGTGATACATTCAAATATGTTGAAACTAACGATTGGGCTGTGGTTCGATTACATTGGCTAGTGCGACATCAACTACTCAATGAAAAAATATCGGATGGACGATATGATTTGAAAAATACCTTAAAGAAAATTGTTTTTGATTATGTACGACCAATGCAAATATTTGAGATTATATCCGAATGTTCATGCATCGCTTGTCCTCAACGTATATGTAAAAATTCAAGCGTCGATTTAACATTACGGTAATTTGAAATTAGCCAAATCGACGATATCGGTTATTGCTAAGAAAATGCGTGGAATTGCATGCTAATCCACTCTAAAATCAAAGAAGAGGTAGCACTGACGCTGCTCATGATTTTTCGCTTGCAGATAGATTGGCTACACTCAGGACAATGGGTAAAAGCCAGGATCAAGTTTTGTTATGATAGATTTCTACTATTGAGCGAGGTGAAACACAAAGAAATTTATCGACTTTTCCACATTATTGCTCTCTACCCGAAGAACTTACATCTATCTTGATGTTCACATATCAGCCGAGGTCTTCTCAAAAACAGTGTTCAGCTAGTTCTGAGTTTCGATTTTTTTTAAAACTTAATCTGTTGTTATGAATATTTTTCAAATCTATTGTTTAGAAAAATTGATGGAAAATTTCCAAATTATATGGATTCTTTCATCAACGATTATTATTCCATCTGTGGCAGCAACATAGGATCAACTGAACCTAGCAACTATCCAGCTGAATACATAGTCGACAATCATTTTCCAGTAATCGACCTGAGTACAAATAAAAAGCGAACCGAGTAAGATTTTCCCACTGCATATTATTATAATTATTTGACATCAACATGATTTCAGGAAAAGATACATATGCCAGGCAATGCGTAAAACTCAAATGCACCGGTTGAGATACGTGGCTCCTTTTGTCATCATCACACTGGAAAACGAAAATGCGCTGATGGTGGATTTGCCGGAAGTATTATACATTGGAGAACATGAGTGAGTACATCCCTTATTCTTGTATTGATCTGTGACAACTTTGAATCAAAGAATTAAACTTGAAGAATTCCACTAGTTCAATTCTTTTGAAAAGAATTGAGTTTTGAAATATATCTGCTTTTAATTACAGAAGTAGACTTTCAAGGTAAGAACTTGGTTTTTCCGATATAGACAGAGGTAGCCGCTTTGGAAAAAATACTTTAAGAGTTTCTGGTACCAGAAACAGCTGATTATGAGACATTGCTGTGAAAATATGAGCTAGAACTTATACTCAGTTCTTCAGGAAATAGCCAATCGACGCAATGCGAGTTGTCACAGGCTCACTCTTGAACCATTCTAAAAAATTCTATCCATTGTAGATATCATATATTGGCCGGCTTCAATAATACACACAGTCACTTTACCACCATCATACGAGTTAACGACGGAACATATCTACGTTTCAATGATATTCATCCGAAAGGATGCTTCATCCATGATGGATTGTTACCGGTTATTTTTGCTCTATATACTTTAAAAATATAAAAATAGCCAAGACAAATCCAATGTATAAAACGGAATTCAACTAGACTTTAACTACATAAAAAAAATACCCATTGTAAATAAACTAAATAGTTGTAAATAAAAAAAGTAGTTGTTAATCAACAAAATAATTGTAAATAACATTGATTAAATAAAATAGCGGTGACTTTGTAAATACCTATGAAACTCTGCATAATTTCTAAAATTCTACCATTAACATTTTCTTCCAAAGAACCCGAACATATGCCAGCAAATATCATAGCAGTAAATTCAATATCCTTAAACTATACTAATCACACCGATAACCTGACGCAGAAAAGGAGATGTTTTTGGAAGTATGCGGAAACTCAGAAAAATGTGAACTCGTTGGACATCGAGAGGCATAGAGTTATAAAGGTATATTTGGTTAGAAAGAGGAACAAGAACAGACATCAAAGAGAACAGAGAGGATAGAGAGATGGGACAGGTAGAATAGAGAGAGAGAGAGGTGAGGATAGAATCGCGATGAAACAGAGAATATGACAAGTGTGGAGGTATAGGAGATATACGTAGGAGTAGGAGTGGCACTTTACGTTAATTTAATATTAAGTGTTAAGTAAAACCACTTAATTAACTCTCTTAATTAGCTCAAATTAAAACCAACGGTCCACCTCTACGTAGGAGTAGTAGTAGATATGTATGTTTTGACCGGAATGCATATTATTTCCATCTTGGAAGAAAAACAACAACAAATGAGCTGTTGAGGGAAAATGCTGTTCTTGTGTTGTGCATATCTGATGAGAAAAAAGTTATCCGACACGTTTTCGTCATGTGTTAGAGTGATAGCATTGCCATCTATGTGTCGGGTATGCTCGAGTCTTTGAAAAATGTCGGTTATTGTCCTCTGGCACACGTACACCACAAATCAATGGAAAAGCTGTAAATGACCACTGTAACAATCAATATGGTATTCAACAAATATGAATATTAGGAAATTTAATCTCATGAAAAATTTCGTCTGATAATCATGTCTACCAATAACGCCCACTGTCGAACGAACGAAACAGATTCATCCAAGATGCAGAATGCCGTCATCTCGTTTCATGTACACCAAAATCTACTGCAATATTGAAATTGCAAAGCGTACTTTCTGTATTTCAAATTGAACCAAAGCTTCTTTCAATCGAATTCAAGTTTCAAGTTTCGCATTATATTTTACCTACAATACCTCACATATACCATATGCCTCGACCCAGGCATGACCCGACTTGGGGGGGGGGTGTCGGGTGTGACACCCCGCCCCCAATCTTCAAAACATTTTTTGTTTTTTTCGACAAAATTTAAAGGTTTTCCTGAATTTAAGTCGATAAAACAATACCCCCCCCCCCCAATTCTTAACATTCCACTTCCAGTCGTCCACCTTCCACAAGTTCCCGACAACACCTCCTAATGTTTGTTGGTTCGCGCCAATCCTGCCTCCACCGCATACCTAACTACTCTACTCATCTACGCTGCCAATATCGTCACCTCTTTTCTCTTCTTCTGCGTCTACTCTTCCCTGTTCTTCTGCTGCCTTACCCTTTTCCTCTGACCTCTTTCTGCAAACCTCTCAGCGTTCAACAACTTTTGTTTTTATGAGCCGTCGTAGACTTGCAAACGTATCATGTAAAAAAATAACCACCATTCGATGACTTTCACTCAACATCACTCGGAAATAATATTGCACACAATACAGATGCCACATTCCTATGTAGCATGCACAAGTGGGAAAAGATTGAACCATCGATGGACACATAAAATCTCCTCAAAGAGCAACCACAACCACGGCAAGGCTGCATGTCCAGCCTTTAAACGAAAAGCCCTAACGAACAACAGAGAAACACAGTAATCCCGGCACACCTAATACAGTGTGATCTACACGCAGCACGTGCCACTCTGAAATAGAGAAATATGGCCGAGATAACATTTTCGCTCCACTACCGCCTTTCATAATGACTGAAGAAAACGCAACCAGAGAGGCGCAAAATTGTATGCACAGAAAAATTCTTCTAGAATACATCATCAATGCTGTACATAGAAGTGTCAGCCGTACGGCTGAGCCGCCGATTTTTCTATAATATCAGCCGCCGTAGCCACCAAGCTACTGGTAATTTTAAGAATTTTGGGGGAGGCGCCGCTGCGCCAAAACAAGTTTAGCCGTTGCGCCGCCTCAAGAGATAAAAATTTTGGATAGCGTTATTCGCCGCCGGTAACATCAATACATATGTGATCGAGTCGAACATTTTTCTTTTAATTCTAATCAGTGAATTTTTAACTGAGCCACCGCCATCACATAAGGACTTGCAAATATCAATCGACGCCGGCGCTGTGAAAAACATTTTAAAAATTTGTAGCAGCCACCGCTGAAGACATTACTCATTCAAATAACGAGCAGCTGGAAATCTTCAAAAATTGTTGCCTGCCGCGGCCGTCCAACCCTTCGGCTGACACCTCTAGCTGTACATCATGTTGCAAAAACTCAACAGACCGGAAAGAGAGACATGAACTTCGAAAAGAGACAAAACCACTACAGACGACAATGCGTGTCCTCTTACCATCCCATAAAATGAGTTTGCAGCTCGGAATCCTATTACCACTAGTCGAAACGTTGAACCGCTGAGCCAAATGGATCATACTAAATCATTAGTGACGATTCTGTCAATCCCACCGCTGACTGGGTTCGATGAAATCCAACTGAATATAATTGTACCGCTAATGATTCACCCGCCATTCAAAATAAAGTAGGCCAAGGCTAAGCTAAATGAAAAAAGGTTTTTACTTCACTACATGCAAATCCAGTTTGAATTGAGCATGCATCACACGAAGCTGGCTACGCGGTATCTCCGTCGCAACTTTTCCTTTCATCTCACGCAATCTCATTCCCTCCTACCACATTCTATACAATTGCTGACCATCATACCGATATCGGAATTTCTAATAAAAGAAAAAACCTTCGACGCATATTCTCATGCAACCTCCTCCTCCACCAGCATAAAAAGTTTCACCTGCGACACTACTCAGGTCCATCAGATTATCTACTTTGATTCGCCTTTGCCCTACCTCCGAAAGAAGGTATATCAAAAACTCATGAAGTCCCTACTCGCACAGCGAGACACCGCCTCACTATCGAAAACGTATCATTTCTAAAATTCGGCCCATTCTTCCTACAAAAGCCACATAACAGGAACTTTCATCCAAGCAACCCGCACCATCAAGAAACCACAATCATCAAAACAATCCGATTCATTTCCATACAAAATAACAAAGAAGCTAATTAATCCATCGACCTCTCAACGAACATACTCACCAATCACCGATTCTAAACCGCAACGTGCCTCTTCCTCCGATCACTAGCACAAAGCCTGGCACCACACCACCGGACTTAAAATTCTGCATCTAACACAGCCTCTTTCAGAGTCAGCGCAAGTGTTTGAGCGAATCGGGGCTGAAATTACTGATGAAGAACCTCGTTGGGACCAGTTTCACCCCGAAAACATGAGTTCTACCAGAGCAGAACACTTAATAGTGGCATCATTGGACAGAGCTCGAAATTCTGCATCTAACACAAGCTCTTTCAGCGTCAACACAAGTCGTTGAGCGAATCGGGGCTAGAATTGTATTTTTTTGTGAAGTGGTTGCTGGAGAGAAAGTGGTGTTTGGGTTAACAGGTGTGTTTCTTTGACAGTAAGGCGTTCGAAAAATGTGTTATTCGATAGAGCTTGATATTGTGGATCGAACACAAGTTGTTTTAGAGTTACCACAGAGGTTAGTGCGAATCGCGGCTGGAAAAACTCGAATCTGCGGCTCACTTCCCTTTCGTGAAGCCGACGATAATTCGATAGTTTCCTTGCGCCTTCCGAAGAGCTCCGTCGGATTCCAATAGGAACCGATCGGAACTCATCGGAGCCTAGACTAGAATTCATTATCCTGGCTATTCATTCATTTTTTTATCTTGCCGAAGTTATTGTGATTTAATGTATCGGACTCGGGTGTGGGTCTGAATATTTGATTTCCCTAAACTCACACCAACACATTTCTTCTTTTGGATATTATTAATGCTAATTTAAAAAAATAAAATTACAGATAGTTTGCTATAGAACATCCAGCTCTTTCTAAGTCATTATTTGCTCATTGGTTGTGAAAGAAAGAAAGCCACATTCTAACATATATTCTGAATGTAGTTGAGAAATATATTGTCGTATTGTCGGCGGAAAGTCGACAATTAAACAAAAATATAAATCATAAAAGCTGTCCAAATTCTGATGGAAAATGGACAAGAAAATTCACAGCAATAAAAAGGGTTGTCTGAATTCCATAAGAATTTTATCAATTGTGGAAATATGCCAACCGTGCCCAAATTTTAATAGAATTTGGACATTGGCGAAATTGAGATGGCGAAATTCTTTTTGTCGAAATTCCATAGAACCACTATTCTACTTCGATGCGCTATCTTTCTATATCAGAACGGACCTTTCTATTTGTGTTGAGTTAAATAATAAATATTGTGAAATTTTATGTGGGAGAGAGCATTGTTTTAAATCGTTTTTGGTATGATGAGAAATTTTTAGTCAGCAGGAAATTGAGATGATCTGTTTATGCCTCTTACAATAGATACAAGATATGATTCTCATTCATGAATTTACATAAAAAAGAATGAGAATAGAGTTAAGACTGACATGTTGTGTATATGTAAGAGAGAGTCAGGTTTGAATTTTTAATGTAACGTTTGTTTTTCATACTTAGTAGATTTCAGCGATAAAGAATTGTCCAGTGTAAATATGTGTCGAAGTAGAGAAGAAAAGAAAACAAAAATCACTTGGCAAAGAAAGAAAAGAATACGAAAAACATTTATTAAAGAAATAAAGCAAAAATGTTTTATGTACTGAATGAAAATATTCGTTGAAATAAAATTTGAGAGAGTCGTTCGCACAGAAGTTTCAATCTCGAATAAGGCTGTTAGTTTATTTTTATATACGTTCACATTAAAGAATAAATAGAAATAGAGTGTTGGTAATTCCACAAAAAAGATGAATGAATCGTTTGAAGTGAAAGTGAAAGTGCAATGGGAAAAGGGAAAATACACTCGTAGCTTATTCATGTTTTGCCCTTTATTCAGCTGCTTATATAAGTATATATAAGTATGTAAGATTGTGCATATAGTTATGGGACTTTTTGTAAAGTTGGGTGTGGGTATGGGTGTCTTCTATTACCTTCCTTGATACACACACTAGCACTGTATCGTGGGTTCCTTGACTTTCCTGACTTCCCTGAGTTCCTTGGATTCCCTGAGTTCCCTAAGTTCCCCTGAGTTCTCTGAGTTTCCTGAGATGCTTCACGTGTTATAGTTTCACATCGCTCGTTATCACTTATTTATTTTTGAGTTCTCAATTTCCAACGCATTCCCGACTCCTGGGAACTTGGACACTGCTGAGAAATATATATAACTTATTTGTTAAGATTATTTATGGTTCAAATATGTGTAGGGATGCAGCGGTGACGATCAAACACCGTTCCACCGCTCCCACTGGGTCCCGGTCCACCGTTTCATCGCTCCCACCGGGGCCCGGTTCACTGGTCCGACCGGGTCCCGGTCCACCGATGCACCGGTCACACCCGGGCCCGGTCCAACGGTGCACCGCTCCACCGTTTCACCGGTCTCAAGCGGTGGAACGGTGAACGATAAATCGTCACCGTTGCATCCCTATTTTATATACTAGACATATACAGCAACAAAATCAAACAAATAACTTACCTTCAATAACTCATATTGATCAAAATCATTTTCGGAACAATTCTTAAGTTTATCAATTTCATTATTACCACTTCGTTCTTCGAGATATTCCTTAATATTAGCAATAGCAAAATAAACAAATCCGATGGTGCTATGTTTTTTTCCACTGACCAGTTTTATTGCTTCGGAAAAAGACCTAAGAATTTCTTCAACATATTTGAATAGTGTCCATTCTTCTCGATTAAGTTCAAATTCAAGTAATCTAAAAGTTGAAGTAAAATATTATCTACAAATTACATTAAATTTATGGTATAGTGTTCTACAAATAAGTGCTGTAATATCTTCAGCAATATCTTCTTCCGAATTGTCATGAACTAACTTCGACATCTCATTCGAATGATCAGATAGGTTGGGCTCGTCATTGTTTGATGAGTCTTCACTATTAATTGTATCTGGTTGAGAATTTGGTGTTTCATCAGTAACACTATTATGATCATCATTAAAAACTTTTAAATAAGATAAAGAATTGGAGAAAATACAAGATATTTTCGGGAAAATGTATTTTTCCTTCAATAATAATAAAATGTTGCTGGTATTCAACATGCGAAACACTTAAGGTGTACCAAAAGTAATGATACTAATACTATAAAATCTTACAGAAGGATTGAGGAAATTTTCTTTCTATGCATGAGTGAATTGCAAAATTATTGTACCGCTAAATTCTTCTATGTAAAATTTCAATAAGCCCAGTTGTGCCCAATCAATCTTTATAACTTTTTTAGGTTAGGTTCCTCTAAGATCTCCTTACTGTCACATAAAAATCATAAATTTATCTTTAACCAATCTCGATAGATTAGATGCGCAAGGTTAAATACTGCGACTTTTACTAATATCCCTTGTAGAATTTATCATACTTAAGACTGATCAAAAGTTGTGGCGACGCTATTTGCAATTTTATAAGCCAATTAAGGATATCCCCTCTTTTTCAACGATTTTCACATCTCAAAGACGGTAAACCCGGCTGAGTTGAAATTTTTATGGTAGATAGACCACCTAAAATGATGAGACACATGTTCGAGGAAAATTTTTTCTCAGGGAGCTTTCATCTTTTTTTCAAATCTACTGGCTTTCCAGAGGTTCTCACCTTGCCACTAGGCGAATATGTCAAACTTTGTCCGATTTAGCTGAAAAGTTTTTTGGAGATAGCCACGAATATATCTTAGAGATAGTTTTGGGCTTTTTGAAAAATCTCGCTTTCTTTTTCTAAAAAAGATACATAAAGGGATTTTGCCAGAACCAGGCCTCTAACCTCGAAAACCCTATAAATTCGGATAGAAAGGTTGGAAATCTAAACGCCCGATTTTACCTCTCGAGGATACTACGAAGTATTTGTGGTAAAAATTTCCGCTCGATCGGATGAAATTAAAGGGATGTTTTACGTGGCACAATTCAGCGTTTTGCCTGAAAAACTAGTTTTGAGAAAAACGCAAAATAAGTTTAACCTTTTGAGTCCTGGTGGTACATATATGTACCACCTTAAGATACCCAGTCAGAAAAAATTAATAAAAAAGACGCGTTTTTTTATCGTTCTTATCTGTCCGGGTAATGGGTAATTATTGTAATAAAAAAGTGTATAATGGTTTTTGTCGATAGGTGATCAGGAGAGGAAATGCATTGAAAGAGGCGCAAATGATATAGAAACTTCTGAATAACTGCAACCATTTGCTCATAGTCAGAAGTTCTTTCAAATCGACATTGACTTACTTATTGTAACGGAAAAAAACGAAAAAGAACGAATGTGGTTTATAACTTTTGTTGTATTCGTCTTTGTGTAAAACATTGCTTTATGCCGTATCATAAAAGCTATCTGTATCAGTAACGACATAAAAGAATGTCTTAGCAATAAAGGTTGGAAGTTTTTTGTCTGAAAAACACAACAATAATAACAATGTTTTAATTCTCCTATGATCACGCGCTTTCTTGTTTGCTAATTATTATTGGGATTTATGGCATCACCTACAGTCTAAAAAAAATCGGTACTCTACCGAACCTTAATAGTTCCACATTTCTCTACCAAACGATTTTAAGTTCCGTAGAGTGAAAAACATTCCGTGGTATCCTTTCAGAACTATTTTAAGTTCAGCAGATNTTTTATTTCAACTCTGATCTAAAGTCTGGGGTAAGTTTGATGCAATGAAAGAGAATAATTTTTCTTTTCGTTATTGAGTCGCTCATATAGAAGGTTTCAGGTAAATTTCATTTCGTAAAATAACAAAAATTGGTTTTGTTTAATTATAGAAGGCCGCAAAGATGCAATTTCAGGTGAGTTCGATCAAGTATAATTTTATATATTTGTTTTGTTTTTGGTTCTAGGTTGATGCTTAAACGCAGTTTTAGGTAAGTTCTCTCTTTGCAAATCAAGGAATTATTCTTTTTTGTAATTCTAGGTTAATATAAATATGGAGTTTTAGGTAAGTCTGATTTTGGAAATAATAAATTTTCGCTAATTTGTGTATTTCAGATTGTTTCAAGTAAAAGAATAGTGAAGTAAGTTTGCTCTTATAAAGTGATTATATTTATTTGTTTCTGTATTTTAGGTTGTTTCAATTATGGAAATCACGGGTGGCTTTGACTTTAACCATGTGCTATCGCCCGCAGTATGCACACTATTCGAGTATTTCTCAAAACCCGAGTATGGCATACATCAAATGAACCAAATTAAGATGAAATAGTCTTTAGAATGATTTTCGTTGAATGCAGAAAATTACTCTGTAGACTAGTTCATCTTACTTTTGATTCATTTGATGTATAGCGTACTCGGGTTTTGAGAAATACTCGAACAGTGTGCATACCGCGGGCGGCAGCAGAGGGTTAAATGATATTTTTAACGGAATCTTTGTCGGGTACGAAACCTTTTTCTGAATGATTTCTAACAGGCTTTGCACGAAACCATTGCTACGAAACCCTTTTTTTGAATTTTCGTGAAGGGGGTTGATACGAAACCTCACTTTCACAAAACCAAAAAAAGGATCTGACGGTGTACCGAGGATAAGAACCTTTTTTAGGTTCTGTGAAAAACCTATTTTTTTTAGAGTGTAGTAACTTTACACTAGGTCTCATCAAATTCTCTTCAGTAGAAAAAACTCCGGACTCAAAGGGTTAAGCAGCGATTTTTTCACCAAGAAAAATTGAAAGCTGACTTTTTAGTGATTCTATGGGTAATTTTCTATGACGAACCCAATCATCATATTGACAGCCATATGGTATGTACACTAGCAACATCTTGAGGGTGAGGTTATGAGGATGTGATGGTGAGGGTGAATGAAGAGAAGAGAAATGATCATCCTCACCCTCAAGATAGAGGTACTTGTGAGAGGATGAAATCAGAATTTTGTTTATCCATTGCATTAATCCATAACACCATAAACGAAAAATAAATACCGAAGTCCATGCATGATATATACGGTCCAAAATATTTGTGTTTTTTCTATATAAGCAAGTCGAACACATATTGCCTACAACAAGAAAATGCAATTAATAATTATTCTCTCACAAAACTTTAATAAAATAACCGCTGACTTCAATCTTATTCTTCTTTCTAATAATTGATGAGCAGACTTTTGGGATACGATAAATAACTTTTCATCAACTTTATAAAAGTGTTCAGAATGTGTTAGTGCTTGACTAAGAAGAATATCCTTATTTACGACTTTCGAAGTCCTTCTCACACTTACTGTTGTTACATACCTGCAAATAAATATTTATATTTTATGAATTTGGAATTTCTTCAAGTAAAATCAATATATTGTCAATAGGGATCCTTGCTGATGTACTATAATTTTGTCGATCCTTAGGATTCACATCCGAACGTACTAATGAATGATCGAGTTTTGTATAATTGTTAACCATATATAGAAGCGATTGGATTGATGGTGCTCAGGATATAAAGAAACAATAGCCACTCTTTTTTATGAACTGTTTAGAAAAAGAGACAAACGAACGTTATTCATTAACACAAAAATCAGTTTTTCAGGAAAACCCTAAGGTCGTTTTGACTATTCGTTAAAACTACACTGTAAAAACAAGAAGTAGCATAAAAACCTTTAAAGGTTTTATGAAAGTGCAACCTAATTATAACAAACCCTTTTTAACGTATGTGAAAATTTTTATAAACCTTTTTTTCTCTACCTTAATTTTTCAAAAACCTTTTTAAAGGGTTAATGAAAATAAAAAAAACCTTCAGATACCCTTTGAAAGGGTTTATTAAAATCAAAAACGCTAAAGGGTTTGTCATACTTTGCACTTTCATACACCTTTCAAGAGCTATTTGAAGGGGTTTCTATTTTCATAAACCCCTTCAAATGCCCTTTTGAAAAGGGCTTTTGAAAATTTTATATAAATACTTATTGTTCATTTGAACGATCAATTGATCTAATTAAAAGAAGGAAAAATAGATTACTCAAAATAAATACTTACTGTTCAACAGAATGCTCTACTAAAATAAACTAAACACTATAAAATACACTCTAAAAAAAAAGTTTTTTTACGAAACCATAAAAGGTTCTTCCCCTGGATACAAGGGAAGAACCTTTTATGGTACGGTAGAAAAAAGGTTTCTTAATATGCACCAATCGAAAAGCATGAACAAAAAGGTTTCGTAGTGAAGGTTCCTTACGAAACTTTAATGCCCAAAAGACTGAAAAGGTTTCATACCAAAGGTTCGGTACGGAACTGATATGTTCTAGCCATCAAAAAGGTTTGGTAGTAAAGGCTCCGCAAAAAAACCCTTTTCCCAAACCCTGTAAAATGGTTCCGAAGAACCTTTGAACTATCATACCTATTTTACGAATCGAATCCAAGAGGTTTCGAACATTACAGGGTGAACCAAACGTCACTTTACCGAGAAAGAATGGAATATCTCCGTAATGACTGAACCGAACGGGCGTGG